TGGACTTGAATAAGCTTTGATGCCCAAGTAATCAAAAGAGTAATATTTGCGATTGGCCAAACAATAGAAAACTCCCTTGTTGTTATGAAACATTGAAAAATATATCTTGTTTCCTAGCCCCTGTGCAACACATGTTTTCAAGCAGGATCCTTCCAAGCTCACAAACAATGTTTTATTGTCTAAACTTGTTATTTTTTCCCTCTCCAACACTTCTCCATTCATTTTGTACCTCCAAACCTCTACTTTCCCTTCGTGGTGAGATAGAAATACAACTAACATTCCTTCGTTATCGACATCTTCTGCCATGTAAACATATTGGATTGAATTTAGTCTTCTACGTAGAAAGGATTTCCCATAAAATTTCCAACTAGGAATTGAGTTTTCATTGATGGTCAGTATTCCCAAATTTCCTTTATCTCCCAGTACATAAACAATATTATTTTTGAAAAATATTGGACTTTTGCATCCCGTTAAAAAAAAACATTTATATCTATCTGTTGGATTGTTTAAGTTATGAAACGTCCAATTAGTCTCTCCAACTTTGATGATGCATACGTCTGGGGGATTACCAAGGTAATCAAAACCAACAACAAAGCAAGCAGATGACGACGAGTCTGGAGGACATGAAAATGTCCAAACGCAAATATTTTCATACTCCTCTTGTAGATCAGGAAGTTCAATTATGTCATTGCTAATAGGATTGAAAAAAAACATGTTGTGATTGCCATGACTTATGAGTAACCAATTAGCTTTTGAACTTCGAATTCGGGAATCCATTAATTTCGGAATTGGGATAGACGTAGTCGTCATGACATTGTACACGGGATGAAAGAAATCAACAATTCCGGTATCTCCACGCAATGTGATCAAACAAGGCGATTTTTCTGGTTGAGCAGGACAATGTGGAGGGGTCACGGATGTGTAACGCCATTTTTTACAAACGGCACGGAAAACAAAATATTCTGCGGCAACAAGACGTGATGATATTAATCCGAGTATGTCTGATGGTATACAATCCGACCACAATGCATCCTCCATTATAAAAAATTGTCGTTGAGAAAAATTATGAACACTACGTGCTATGAGATCTACCCTATTTATAAACTAGAATAAGAATTGCCAACTCCTTTTCCTTAACGTATTTGAACTCATTATTATTTTATATATTTTTATGTCAGAAGTGAATTTATTTTTGGAAAAGTCAACGGAAAGATTAATTAAATACAACTATAATTGGCAATGTTTTTGGTTATGGAAATCCTAATTATATTTTCTAGGAAGTAAAGGAAACAATTTTCCTTGTTCTACGCCTATTCTAATTAACCCCTTTTCCTTGTAGTATTTGAACTCATTTAATCATATTATTATAATAATATTTAATTTAAAGTTGATTCTTTTAATTTAACCACACATTATATTATTGTTTTCATAATCGAAAAAGTAAAATTCCCTGACATTCTTTTTCTGCACAACACCACCCTTATAATTGGTATTATATGAGACATATATCTGAACTTAAAAATAAAGTAATACGTGCGATTGTTATCTTTGAAATAAAATTTCAAAGGTAACAATCATACGTGTCACATTCTCTTTCTAATTAAAGAGACTAAGACTACTCCTGATGATGAAACAAACGATGAGGATGTGTTTTGAAGAGAAAATTTTATGTATTAACAAGGTAAACATGCATATATGTATTCTAATGTGTTTGGATCCAGATAATATTTTAATTTGTCATTAAACACTGTTACAATAAAATTAATTTCTAGTTTGATAAATTGATACAATTAAAACTAACATAAACTACTTGTACGTTAGTACTTAAATAGTGACCAGTGTATGTAAAGAGAGTAATTCTCGTCATTAAACTTTTCAGTAAGAAGATTTACAAAGACAAAAACCAGAAATCATGAATAAAAATAGAGAAAACAATTATAAGAAGTTAACATGATGCAAATCAACGAAAACTATATCAAATAGTACTAAACATTTATTGTATACAAACAAAAGGCAAATTAAACATTTACTAATTTAATGTTAACCAGTGCATGTGGTGATCCTTTGTCTTGCTAACATGTGGGCAAGGGAGGGATAATGATATCATATGTGTTATCCAGTTGTAGATGTAGAGATAACGACCGTAGGTGAAGTAGATGCACTCTTTGTTAAGATTTGTGTCTTTTGTCGAACAAGTTGTGCCCGTCTTCAGAGGGAAACTTATAAAAATTGCTATTTCTCCAATGCTTTCCGCTTTTATCCATCTTCCTCTTATAAAATCAAATTGAAATACTTGAAAATGGTATGGCATTTCAAACTCTCTTCCGTTACCAATCAAGTGAATATATAACAACATATCGTTAGAAGAGGATTGAATGAGGTAATCCTTATAAAAAGCATAATATGATTTCGACAGATCTGGAGATCCGTCAGCCATTGGTGTAGCTGTTATTCTTCCTGAATCATTATCTAGATCCAAACAAGTTAGAATTTTTTGCATCCCGATTATTAATATATAAATTTTTTTCTTGAACACTGTCCAGACCCCAAGACGTGAATATCCGATAATTGATTGGACATCTTGTTTATGAAATTCTTCATTATAACCTGGTTTGCAGAAGTAAAAAGCAAGAAAATTCTCATCGTCATCCTCATCGTCCTCATTGTTTTCATCCTCATTAATAGAGTCTGCATCCCCATCCTCATCAGAGTTGTCATTCTCATGCTCATCAGAGCCCTCATCCCCATCAGAGTTCTCATCCCCATCCTCATGATCAGAGTTCTCATGCTCATCCTCATTAGTGTCATCATCATCCAGAGAAGTCTCAATTTGGAAGATAACTTGACATTCGGGATCATGAGGTGGTGCAGACAAGAGGCAGTTTAATATGTCGCACTTAGCAGGAAGTGGTGGGAGCTGAATTTTTTCGTTTGAAATAAGATTCCAAAGGTAACAATCATTAGAATTAATGCTTTGTAACACCAGCCACTCATCCGCATAAGCAGATAATGTTTTTTCTTTAAGTTCAGGTATACTTTTCATATAATATCGATTCTCCGATACACTGAAAAAAGTTTGTTTCTGCATAACATCACCATGACAAATAAGAAGCCAAGGGTGTTGGGCAGAATAAGGAGGTTGAGCATTGTTGTTTTCTTCCAACTCCATCTCTGAAAAAACGAAAAAAATGATGTTTGGTTTTGCAAGCTTTTGAGTACGTGTGTGGTTAAAAGAATCAATTTTATATTAAATAATGATTAATGAGGCCAAATACTATCAGGAAAAGGAGATTTGTTTTCCTTTAGTAAATATAATTGGGATTTCCATAATTAAAAACATTGCCAATAATACTTCTTTTCAAAAATATATTTTTTTACTTAGCAGTTGGCACTGTTCCAAAAATATATTATTATTTTTTTCTTGTTACTTTTGAGCTCAAATTAATACGTTAAAGAAAAGGAATTGACAAGTAATTGGCAACTTCTGTTTGAAATTAAGGGGAAAAGCTAACAGTTACTCATGTTTTCTTTTTCAATCCTAAATTTAAATCAAGCAGGTGTAGAGACGTTAATAAATTATTTGTAATCTCACTTTTATATTTCTTTCATTGTCACTTATTACAATAGGCATAATACATAAACGTGACCCTTAACTTGGCATCAACTGATAATTATGACCTTTAACTTTGGATGTGCACAAATAGGCACTTAAACTTGTATAAAATTGAGCAATTGGACACATTCGTCCTACATGGCACCTACATGAAATTTTGTGTCCTACGTGACATCCTATGTGTATTATGCCATGTAGGACAAATGTGTCTACTTGTTCAATTTTATACAAGTTTAAGTGCCTATTTGTGCACACTCAAAGTTGGAGGGCATAGTTGTCCGTTGAAGTCAAGTTAAGGGTCATGTTTATGTATTATGTCATTACAATATTTTGTAAAAATAACCCAAAAATAAGTGAAACTCATGTATGATTGGGTCATTTTAATTGGGTTTTACGTGGGCTAACAATTCAACTTAACAGCCCAAGTATATGAGTTGCATTTTCTAGGTATGAATTACACCGGATAGCCACTTTGGGCACCTCTATTTAAGTTCTATCCGTTTTAAAATCTAACGAGTCGTTAGATAGTTGATCAGAATTATGCAAATATTAGTAATTTATGGATTAGCTATAAGGAAATTCATATAGTAATATTTTATGGCAGGAATTAGTTGTGCATAAATGATACATAGATTTTCTTATACATGTAATATTAGTTATGTTCTTCAAGACAAACTAACTTCCATAACTAACTATCAAACATGATATTACTTAGTCATATATATGTAATGTCTGCATAACTAACCTCCAAAACAACTACTAAACGACCCCTAAATTTAAAGTTTAGTGAGTGTTGGAAAACTTCAGACCTCACCTGCTTCTTCTTTATCATAACATGATGAATGTAAATTCAGCTCGAACAAATTGAGACGGTGTCTTCTTAGTGAAATGTAAATAGCAAAATATGATATTAACTCTACTCTAAGCACTTTTAAACATGTTATTACTAATGTTTTATATGAAATTATTAAATCTTCTATGTACAAAGTTCATATAAAGCGATTAATAATGCAAAGTTTAAATATTTATGCCTACTTTAGACTTTCAAATATGAAGTTAAATCTGTTTGTTATAACTCCAGACATAACGATATAAAGTTAACTTTTGACCTAAATAACTTTAGACCTTATTTAAAACATCAAACCCCTAAAATCAACTTCAATCTCGTAAGTCTAAAAAGGATTGAAAAAGAAAAACTTCGTTTTTTAAATGTTTTTTGAGACGATTTGAATGAGCATGGACAAGTTCGAGATTCACTATTCCTCTCAATTACATACAAGGGTTTTGTTAAGATAAAAATAAAACCTAACAATAGCATAAAGTCAAAGGTAGCTTACAAAAAAAGTCAGCTCTGAGCTAAAAAATATTCCCCGTCGTTCTCCTTTTTCTTTCCGATCGCCGGAGTTTACCAAATCCGACGCCGTTTTCTCCTCCGATCACAATGGCACCACCACCTCCGGAGGCGGCGGTTCACTCTCCTTCATCTCCCCAATACACTCAACAATTCTTAAGCAACGTTCTCTCCCAACGAGGTCCTTCTTCTCTCCCTTACTCCGAAGACGTCAAATGGCTGATCCGTCAACACCTCGTTTCGTTAATCGACATGTGTCCTTCTCTTCAACCCAGAACCGCTACTTTCACTTACAACGACGGCAGGACTGTGAATCTCCTTCAGGCGAACGGCACCGTTCCGATGGTCTATCTAGATGCAACCTACAATATTCCGGTCATTATTTGGTTACTGGAATCTTACCCTCGTCAATCACCGTTGGTATTCGTGAACCCCACGCGTCATATGGTCGTCAAAGACTCGCATCCATTTGTGAACTCTTCTGGTATTGTTTCGATCCCTTATTTGACAAATTGGGTATACCCAAGTTCGAATCTTGTTGAATTAGTTCGTAATTTGAGTAATTTTTTTAGCCGTGATCCCCCTTTGTACACCAAACGGAACCCGAACCCGAATCCGCATCCTCCTCCGGGTACTAGTTTTTCGAATAGTGGGTCGACTCGACCCGCGATACCACCTCGGGTGTATCCACCATCACCTTATGGGAGTGGGAGTGGTGGGGTAGTGGGGAGGAAAATGGATGATCGGTCGGAGGTGGATAAGAAGAATGCAATAGATGAGCTTATGGTGAAACTGCATAGTGATATTGAAGGGTTGGGGAAGGCGAGGGAGGCGGATATGGAAGGGTTGTTTAATGCACAAGGAGTGTTGAGGCGTCGAGAGGAGGAGTTGAGGAAAGGGGTTAAGGAAATGCTGGATGAAAAGGAGGGATTAGAGCAGCAATTACAGATGGTTTTGATGAATACTGATGTGTTGGAAGGGTGGGTTAGAGATAACGAAACGAAAGTGAAGAAAATAGGGAATGTGGATGTGGACGAGGCGTTTGAGCTTTGTGATAGACTTTCAAAACAGATGTCGGATTGTAATGCCTCGGATTTGGCTATGGAGGATGTGATTTATTCGATGGATAAAGCTATACAGGATGGGGCAATTCCTTTTGATCAGTACTTGAGGAATGTAAGGTTGTTGTCGCGTGAACAATTCATTCATCGTGCCACGGCTTCAAAGGTTAAGGCTGCTCAGATGCAGGCTCAAGTTTCTCATATGGCTTCTAGGCTGTCTCAATATGCTTTGTCATAGATGTTGAATTTTACTTGGATTATGTGTGCACTATGGACAGAAGAGGTTAGTTTTTTTTCCGAGGTAGGTTACTTGTGAATAATATGTCAATGCTTTATTTCTGCACAAAGAAATTTTGGCATAAGTTTTGTATTTTCTTCAATGATTGTATCAGTTAGATAGCAAAACTATAGTGTGATTTAAGAGATTTTCCTTGATAATTGGTATCCCCGATATTTTAATTTCTTTTCGAGTCTTTGCAAGTCTAATTGGCATTGGGACCAATGATTAGCTTATGTCATTATATTCAAAGAAATGAATTGTAACAAGTACTAAATTTATACTTCTGTCTAAGATGGTTTTTGCCATGGATATTTGTACCAATGAGTCCTTTTGTAAGTTATCATATCTTTGTATACTACATAACTTATTGTACTATCCATGCTTCATTTGCTCACCACTTATAAATTTATCATCAGAAGATCCAAAACTGACCCATGACCGAGTTTTGAACCGCGCCCTAACTGGCTCTCGGGGATTTCTCGGTTACCAAAAGTAAAAAAAAGCTCCAAAACGCATCCTTCTTACTAAAGCTGTTTGGAGGTATGTTCATTCGTTGTCACATTGGCATGAAACTTCAGTAAGTGAAGCTTAATTGCTTGATTTGATAAAAAAAAAGTGAACTTGAAGGTTTATAGAGGGGATAGCTTTATAATTGGTCCATTCGGAAGATACAGTTATTGTGAACACAATCTTTTCCTAATTCACTTGCATTTTCCCATACTAGTTTGTCTAGTTATGATTCAAAGGCATTTCAGTTGAGGAGTTCTGTAAGCCAGTTTTCTCTCTGAATTGACAAAAACTATTTGGGACTACAACTTTTTGAATGTATTAGAGCTTGAAGTCACATAAGATGCCATTTATGTGAATAATTTCTATTAGTTGAATTAGATATACATCTTTGGAATTTTACCGAATCTGCTACACATTTGTGCCATAAAGTTCAGCTAGAGTGGGAAATACTAAGCAACTCCTTATAGAATTGTGTTCTTGTGATATTTATTCCACAGTATGAACTAGACATATACATTTTAAAGTGAGAGTGAAGAGAAAATCATTAATTCACATTGACTTTGTTCAAGTATCAAGGGACAAAAATGTATGTTAAGTAGTTTATTTCTAGTCATTCATCTGAAGAAAATACTTGAGACTGTTGCTTGACCTAAACTATACTTTCTGCCTTATTATCCAATTTTAGGGGAGGGTGGGTGGGTTACTCCTAGTGTTGTCAAAGGTGTGCTTAAGCCCTAAATCGAGGTGCAAAACATGTTGAGTGTTTCGCCTCGCTTAGTGTGCACTTTAATATCATCATCAAGGCTCTAAGACGTAACTTTCCTTGCCAGTGAGCCTTATCTTATTTTTTTTTATGAAGATAGATTTGTATAGCTAGCATCAAGAAGATGCAAAGTTACAAAAGATATGTTAGCTCTTACAACAACAGACCTTAAAGCATAGGGAGCTAATCAAAAACAAAAGAGGGCTATTAAGCCAGGCTCAGATAAATGGAGGATTGAAAACTAACAACAATTGACTTACTAACAAATACAAGACTTGACCATGTTAAAAGACTCGATAGTCGATAACTGGTAAGTTTCTTCCAACACAACTCCAAATACCACCTCCATGACAATTATTAATTAAGAACTCTCCTCCTCTTCTGGTTTGGGGATACATTTACCTTTTCTTTCCTTTTTATCTTTGTCCAACCACAACTTGATTGCCATGAACTGCTCCAACATAAGTTTGACTGACAGTATATTTTGAGTGAGGGCTCTCTTTTTCGTTCTCTTCCAATGCTTGCACTTCTTTACAAAGATCTTCAAATGCCTCAAAAACATTTGATTTGCCTACAGCAGCATGATCATGATGGAGATCGTCTAGTTTCAATTCAAGAAATTTATCTATTATTTTTTCTATACTTGTGGAGCCACAAGAAAATGTTTTTCCACTTGGTGAAAAGAGTAAAACACCAACATCTGCTCTGGTCAGAGTTGCTTTCTTCAACAAGCCTTTTTTCCTTTTCGAGAAAGTAACAATGCGTGCTTCCTTAGACTCAAACAATTTCATATCAATCTTTTGCCTACCCTTCCTGGTCCTCTTATCCCTTGCAAAAAAACAAAATAATCAAAGAAGAAAATAAGATGTTTTGGCTGAATAAACCTGAGCAATTTTGAGAAGGAATGCTTGTGTAATTTATAGTAGGTGCTCAAGTCTATTTGTCACATGTATTGTCATGTTTATTTAATGTTTCCATATTATGAGTCTATTTGTCACGTGTATTGTCATGTTTATTTATTGTTTTCACATTACGGGTTTATTTGCAATGTGTATTGTCACGTTTATTTAGTGTTCTAATAATATGTGAATCTATGATGCGATTACAATGAATCCAACAAAAATTGCCTTCTTATTTTTTCCACTACAATTGCTAAGTAATAATGTTGGATTGTATCTAAAGATAAACGAAAATTAAATTGTTACTGGTATTTAATGCTTTCATGTTATGAGTCTATTTATCACATGTATTTTCATGTTTATTGATTGTTTTCACACTATGAGTCTATTTTGTGACGTGTATTGTCACATACTCATGTTTATTTGGTGTTTTCTTATTATGTGAATCTATTACGGGATTACCAGGAATCTCAACAGTGGTGGTTAAACCAAAACTCTGTTGAAATCCCGTCAAAACATCTTCTATTCCTTTCTATCCAAACACGCTGGAAAATACAGCTAGGGATCATTTTCGAGATGTTCTTTATGGCTTTGCTGATTCTCCAAGAATTCGAGCTTTCAACTCCTTCCTTTATAGTCAAATGTAGTGTCCAAGAGAGGTCAAAAACTGCTATTTCACTTTATCACCAAAAAAATTTCCAATTTCTTTCATGCTTATTCCTATTTGTCTTGGACTACCCATACATATTTGTATATGTTCTTCATTTGTGTGTTTCTTCATTGAAGTTCACAGTATATTCGCTCTTAAAGCCAGGTGGACCTTAGAGATTTTTTTGCACTTTCCTAGTTTGATAACACTGGTTCTCCCATGGTGATAGTGGTTTATTTGGTTAGTTTGATTTATAATACATCAATGGGAAAGGAAGAAAATACTGATGTCTGATAGTTAATTAGCAAAAAAAAGAACCATCACATTAAGGTTCAAAGTTGTTTAATATTGTGAATCTGAAACCTTAAAATTTCTTTTTGTTACCTTTTTCTGATTAAGGAATTTTAAATTCCTGAAAGTTGTGGAGGTTGTATACAATTATATTATTAGTAGGATGGTGCAGAATATTTTGGAACCTTATTTAATAAGGTATATTTGGGATGACTTGAAATGAAAAGAACTCATATAAATTAGGGGGAAGGAAGAATATGATAACCTGCAGAGATTTTGTTACTTAACAAAAGGTAAAGCATCAAACACTCTTGTTAGGTCCTTCAATTAAAAGGGATTGTTGAGTCTTTTTTTTAAAGAAAGGGACTCAAGTTTTAAATCATAGATAAAAAGGGATCTTTTTTGAACTAGTGGTTAATAAGGTTTGACCTCATTTAAGACCTCAAAATTTTGAAAGAAATCCGCAAGTGTTGTTTTTCTTGATACTGTGGTGTCTAGGTCATTTTCCGTGCACCTCGACTATTTTCACAGTACATAGATTCTGATAACTTTGTCCAAAGCTCGGACAAATTGAAAGAAATCACCTAGTGTTTTTGCCTTTGCTGGGATTAGTACCTTAGACCTCATTGATCCCCCCTAGACCCAAACAAATAAATAAAGAAATCCCAAGCGTTTTGTGAACATCTGCAAGTTGTTTCCCCTCATTTCAAAATATAAACAGTCTCTTCTTCCTTTCATAGTGTTCAACACAACTAAATACAAAAGGAGAGAATTAGATGGAAATTTGAATTAAGTTGGATTTGAGAATGGGTAGTGGTTCTTTATTTATCCTTGAGTGGGTTAGTCCTGAATTGGTTGGGTTGGTGGTCTCCTAACGTGGACTTGGGCAATTTCTTTTCTTAAGATAACTTTTGGAGTTGAGTGTATCGGAGTCTAGTTCGTCCTGTTTTTATATTGTCATGCTTCAGTTGGCGGTCTGGGCGTGCCGGAGGTATTAGAGTGTGTTAGAGTCCCACATTGGTGTGAAAATGAGCTAATAGTCTCCTTATATGAACTTTGACAATCCTCCCCCATTGAGCTACTTTTTAGGGTTGAGTTGACACTAGGATTATGAATAGTCCCTATTTGAGGATCCATGTTATATTCCCACGCTCTAGTTGGCGGTCTGGGCGTGCGGGGGTATTTGAGCGGGGTAGAGTCCCACTTTGGTTGGGTAATGATTTGAGATTTTCTTATATGTACTTGGACTATTCTTTCCAATTTTCAATTGTAGATAAGATAGTTTTTGGAAATAAACACGTCCTGAAGTCTCAGTAAAGAAAATTTACTCGGATTTGATTAATCTTGCAGTTAAAAAGGAATAACTGACTCTGGAGATTCACAAAGGAGACATGTCTTGGAATTGATGTCAGTGAGTTTCTGACTGTGAGGTGGAGTGGGACAGTTGGAATCACGCTCGGGTTCTTCAAAAATACCAACTGATGTGTATCGAAGCTATGTATCTTTTAGAGGATCCTCCACGGGTGGCAACATTTTTGGAGGGTTTGAGCAAAGACTGCTTGGGTGCTGCTATCGTTTGATAATGATCATGCTTTCCCTAAGTAAACTCTTTTCAGTTGAATTGAGCAAAAACTTTTGAATTATTTGATTCACTTGTTTCGAAAACATTTCCAATCAAGAGTCGAAAATTACAAAGTATTTAATGTTTGAAGTTGATATAGAACATTTCTGGAGACGAAAAAAGGTCGATAGAGGATTGCTTGCAACAAGCGATGAAAGAGAACTCTTAACCAATAATATACCTTTCTCAGTGTATTGGTTAAGATCAACGTGTAGTAGTAGTATCGATTCTTATCAGTTTAATGTTTGATACGTGAATTACTGACTCACACGATACCTATCTATCGAGGCCCTTGGCATTTGAATATTGCCTTGGAGATATCATCCCAATTACAAATTAATGCCAACTTGAAGGATTAATTAACAAAACCTATGCTTTCACGTGTTGAGATCAACGTTTGGGACACTTAAACAAGATCTTAAGTTCTCTCTATCAAAAACGTAATTTATTTTCAACGGCTTGAACTCGAGACCTCTAAGATTAATAGAGGCAAAACCAAAGTTTTAGGACCTGAAGTTGTAGTTGTGGGTTTTTTCGAAACCTATGTTTTTGTGGCGTAGCATAATATATGTGTGAATACTCGCTAAAACTTACAATAAATACTAAAGTAGATATGGATCCATAAATTTAAAAGTCTAATGAATTTAGTACTAAAAACTTTAAATGTCGAACCTATAGTCAAATGTGTGAATACGTCTTTGTCCGCCGCTCTTTGTAGTATTTTCTTTGTTTGCCACCAGTTTTGGGGTCTCGATTAATTTGTCAACTATAACCTAGTAAATGTGAAAATGCTCGAACAGAGACATCTAATTAAAGGTGAAGAGGTCCATTCCATATTCTCAACAATGGAAGACGAATCCAAAATAATTAAAATTATAAACTTTATAGTAAATATTATTAATCATATTAGTGAATGTTGTCCCTTAAAACTTATGAAGTGTTAATTAGGAAGACGTGTAGGTGTTGTCACTATTCATGCTTGTTTGTTCATTTTAAATAAAATATTAAAACTCACTTATCAATCATCAATTGGACTTATCATAAAGTATTATTATTATTTGGTGTATCTTCTGACTTTGTTACTAACTTCAATTATTATTATTTTCAAAAATAAATTAAAGTGAGTAGTAGCTCCATATGTAGAAACATGGAGAATGACAAAGCATTAAGTTTCAAGATCCAACATGCTCTGTGTGCCTTTTCATTATTATAAATAAATTTAAGAAAAAGAGTCAATTTTTGGCCTTTATTATAATAATAAGAATAGTATAGTTTATTCTTTTTTTTAAAAATAAAATTAAAAACACAAATAGCAAATAATGAATGGTTATTAAAAAGATAATAATCTCCTATAATGACTTATTAATTGAAGTCAAAATGATTGGATATCGTTTAAAATCTAACTTAAGAAGATAAGCAATCATGGTTTATATTCATATATATATATATTTCCACTTATTTTCATTTTACGAGCTCTTTCGAGTCGAAAGTTTATAGGAAATAACCTTTCTATACCAAGTACCACAAAAGTATAATTTGCGTATATATTAATCTCTTCAGATACTATTTACGAAATTACATGGAATATGCTATTTTGAAATGGAATCTTCTTTTTTTTTCTTTGTACTTTGGTCCCCTCCTCTAACGGTCTTTTCCTTTTTGTTTTGTTTTAAAATTTATTTATTTATTCATATATTTGTCTTGGTTGGTGAGAACTAAGGCATGCAGGACTTTTATTCTTGCCCTTTAAAGTCTGTTAATTAATAAATATTTTTTTTTCTTAATTGAATATGTTATTGCATAAAGAAAATTAAAGGTTTAGTATTATTGTTTCACTTTATTCTTGTTGGTGCACATCATGTCATCATCTTGATTTAGACTTGTTAACTTTATACCTAATTCACAAAGATGAGCTATGTAATTTAAAATTTAAAACATTAGATACATTTCCTCTTTTTTTTCTAATGATAATTTAGTTTTTTTTAATGCTAAGCATGATTGTATGATTAATGATGCTAATGAAAAAGTATACAAAATAGAGTTATTAATATATATGACTATTAACTAGTTGGTTAATTTAGTTGAAGTGGAAAAATATTAATGGAGTGTTTTATGACATAATGATACATGTCAAAGTGAAAGATAAGTTCGAGAAAATAATTATAATATCAACTATATTACTATGTTTAGGAATTTTGAATGCGAAAATCTTATTATATATATACAAGATGAGTGTTGCAAAATTTCGAATATTAAAATGGATGTATGGCCATATAATATAGAATATTGAAACTGATCATAGTCACTAGAAGGTTCAAGTACCATATCTAT